TGAGTTAATGTCGAAGACTCCATATGCGAGCGTAGTTGGGAGCTTGATGTACGCGACGGTATGTACGAGGCCGGATTTATCACAGGTGGTGAGCATGGTGTCGAGATACATGCACGATCCAGGAGTGGGTCATTGGGACGCCGTGAGATGGATTTTGAGGTACATTCGAGGTACGCTCAATGTTGGTTTAGTTTATGAGCGAGACACTACAGGTGGGCAGCTATGCATTGGCTATGTTGATTCGGATTATGCCGGGGATTTGGATACGCGCCGGTCCACGACGGGGTATGTGTTTACTTTAACCCGTACGCCGATGTGTTGGAGATGCACCTTACAGTCTACGGTGGCTTTGTCTACGATGGAGGCAGAGTATATGGCAGTAACAGAGGCTGTGAAGGAGGCTATTTGGATTCGAGGACTTTTAGAGTAACTTGGTATATCGCAGAGGTCCGTCACTATTCATTATGATAGCATGAGTGCTATCTATTTGGCGAAGAATCAGGTTTTTCATGCGAGGACGAAGCACATTGATGTTCGTTATCACTTCGTTCGGGATGTTCTTGAAGATGGCGATGTGGAGATTGTGAAGGTCCACACGAAGGATAATCCGGCGGATATGCTCACTAAGGTGGTTCCGAGCAATAAGTTTGTTCATTGCAGAAATTGTTGCATCTTTGTGATTGTTGAGGCCGTTGGCGGCCATTTGGATGAACTACGGGCGGCTTGATCCCTTGGGAGAGGGGGTACGTAGGCAACCATGTTGGTGCAGCCGTATTTGGAGAGACGACACATTGATGCTCTTGGTTTGGTGTCGGCTCAGTTCTGGCAAATTTCGCTGCGGTGGAGAATTGTGGAAGAAAACAGAAAAAAAACCAGTTTTTCTGTCATAAGTCGACTCATGCACATGGCTAAGTCGACTTATGGTAAGTCGACTTGTGTCTGTGCACGAGTCGACTTACGATCTGCGCTGAAATTGTGATTTTTTTCTCTGCCAAGTCGACTTATCAGACCTGATAAGTCGACTTATGAAGTGTGCTCTAGTTGCTGTTTTTTCTCTCTGCCAAGTCGACTTATACACTCTGATAAGTCGACTTACGACGGGTTTTTTGCACAGTTTGGTTTCATGTTTGCACTCTGTTTGGGTTTTTGTTTTGATATAAATAGGGAAACGATTTGTTAGGGTTTTATATCAGAGATTGAGGAATCTTTTGAGCATTGTGAGAGGGAGATATTGTGAGCAATGTGAGATCTTTGGTTGAGGGTTAGTTTGAGGGATCTTGTGTAATTGTAATCCTTTGTACTCTCCTTGAATTAGTAAAATCTCACCATCCTCTCCCCGTGGACGTAGGCAAGTTGCCGAACCACGTATATCTCTGTGTTTGGTTTGATTTGTCGTAGTTGGCTTGGTTTGTGCAAGTGTGTGGCTTCCTTCTTCTCGTGATCACAAGTTCGTTGTGTGTGCGTGCAACGCTTCCGCATAGGCGTGCGACACTATGATCATCAATTAACCGTCCTGATGTGCGGAAGGTGAATTCCGAAGCTACAGTAGAAATATGCACTGTTAGTAAATCACATGTCATGATGGAATGTACATAATATGAAACCATTCCATATACTTTCCACCATTGCAAAATATCAAATTCCTTATATTTCTGAGGTTTAACTAAAGGTGTAGCTAAATATTATTCAATTTCAAAAACTTTCTTTGCTGATGATCCTAATTCACCACTACTATCTATACTAGTTAGCCTCTCTATCATCGATTATCTTTCAAAACCCTTACCTTTGCTTCTTCTAGAGCTTGTAGAAACTGTAGTTTGAGATATTACACTACGTCTATCTGCATGCTCTTCAAATATTCTTTGAAAATAATATTTGATAATGTCATGATGAGTAAGAGCAATAATATTTTGACCGCTGTCACTTTCCATTATCATGTTATCATATAAAAAATTTAACAACTTTGAGACCAAGATCCTTCAATCTTAGATTAATAAGAGGGTTAATTTCACAAAACCCACCTAAACTTTTTGGGCTGTTGCACATAACCTTCCTGGACTTTATTTTTTGCAGTTAATCACCCCCCTCCCCCCAAGAAATACGGTATGTCTCAGGAAACTCCCCTGAACTTTATCTTATCTCACTTAAGCCCCCTACCTATAATTTGTAAATAATTAAAATTTTCTTGAGAGGAAAAAACTCAAACTTTTAGGGGAAGGAGTATGCGGCCTTTAAATGACAAGTGATAAATTTTGAAAACTTTTCATTCAAAGATATTTTAATTATTTTCAAATTATAAGCAGGGGCTTAGGTGAGATAAGCGAAAGTTCATGTAGGGTTTTGTGAGACACCCAATAGTTTGGAGGGAGTAAGTGAGGTAAATAAAGTTTAATTGAGTTATGTGCAACACCCCCTAAAGTTCAAGGGGTGTTTTGAGAAATTAACTCTTAATGACAACCGCCAAATAAAAAATAATAGGAATAGGTTACTCAGTCCAACGACTAGCTTTTTAGCCATTGGACCAGGGCACCCAGTCTCAACAATTAGTCGTTAGACCTGGTCGGGCCAGGCTTTCGAGCCCGACCTGTCCTAATAGCTAGTTAGGGAGCTGTTGTGGGCTCCCTAATGGGGTTTAGATTTTGGTCGGCTCGTACCCGTCCCTGGGGTCCTTTGCCCAAACCCCCATAACCTAGGGCCGAGCCAGTCCCGGGTCGAGCTCTTACGACATCAGCATTCGTGGAAACTCTTCATCGGTCATAATAGAATGTGTAGCTATCAATGCCTAACCTTTTTTTTTCTACTCTCTCGATCTTTTGCGAAAAAAGATGCTTTGTTGAGATTTCCATGATAGGAAATTGAGGGAATTGTTTGAAGACCTTGGAATAGGGAATCCAGTCGCTAGTCATCAAACCACATTCTTAAAAGGAGAGAGCATACTCAAGTCGAGGGAGTGCTTACTATTCCCTAAACAACGTGTAAATGGTTTTGCTTACTAAAGCCTCCACCTTTTTGAGTTGGACTCCAAAATCTACATGCAAAAGAGTACTTTGATATTCTAGAAGGGTTATATCTGAAATTAGAATTTGAAAATATTTTAACTATGGTGATTAGCGATGAGATGATTAATTTAAGCAAATTCTATAGTCAAGATATATATATATATATTAATTCTTCTTCAACTTGTTTAACTACATTAAAAAAATTCTTTAGGTTTAAAAATAAAAAATACATTTGATGATAAATAGTTAATTGTTTAGAGATTCATTAAAAATGTCCTAGCGATAAAAACTTAAATTATTTATATCCTTCGATGATTGCACTGATAATAAAAGGCTGAAGCTCTCATCTAAACTAATTTAAATATGGCCACTACTCTTTGATTGTATGTTGAATCCAATAAAGATTAGCTAACACCCACAACAAAACAAGAAACTAGAGCCAATATTAAGAACTTCATCCCCCATCTCATGATCAACAATTCTATCATATCGGACGAGTCAGATATGAAGAGGTCTTTCTTTGATTACTTCTCTAATCTGTTCAATAGCCAAGCGAACTCAAAACTTAGTATTGATTGGCAGTCCCTCTATCCTGACGGTAATGTTCCCTTGACCTCCCTTTCTCTCCAGAGGAAATCAAAACTGCAGTCTTTCAGCTTCATCCCGAAAAGTCACCAGGACCAGACGGTCTTCCCCTCCTGTTTTTTCACAGATTTTGGAACACCATTGAATCAGATCTTACTTCTTTCTATCTGAATCTTTTCACCCATCCTCAGTCTCTTCACAACATCAATTATTCTTATCTTTGCCTCATCCCCAAAAAAGAAGGGGCTTGCTCTCCCGAGGACTTTAGACCTATTAGCTTGATTAACAGCACCTGCAAAATCTTCTCTAAATTTTTGGCTAATAGATTAAGTAATTTCCTTCACCTTCTCGTGGATGGCTCTCAATTAGCCTTTCAAAAAGGAAAATCTAGTTTAGATTCTATTCTTTTAGCTCACGAGATGATCAATCATTGCTCCTCGAGTAAAAAGGAAATATGTGCCATAAAAGTTGATTTCTTTAAGGCCTTCGATTGTGTAAACTGGAACTTCCTCTTATCCCTTCTAAAAGCTAGAGGTTTCAGCTCTAGATGGTGCCTTATCATCAAACACATCTTATCCTCCTCCAAATCGGCAGTCCTTGTCAATGGTTCTCCCACAAACTTTTTCAATTGCCATAGGGGCCTTAAACAAGGAGATCCACTTTCCCCAATGCTCTTTCTTCTGGTTGTGGATGTTCTTAACAGAATGCTTATCAATAACAACGCTGCAGGTGATCTATCTCAGCTTAACCTCAGAGGAGAACTGAATAAGATTAGATCTCTTCAATTTGCAGACGACACCATTATTTTTTCTAAAGCTCTTCCCTCGGATATGATCACCTTAAAGGCCATCTTGCTTATCTTCGCTAATGTTTCTGGGCTCAGAATCAATCATATCAAATCCAATCTGTTCTACCTCGGCAGAATCCCTTTCAAGGGATCCCAACTTGCCAACCTCCTTAACTGTTCATTAGGGTCCCTCCCTTTCTCCTATTTAGGTCTCCCCCTCAAGTCTGGTTCACTCACCAAGCGAGAATGGCAACCTCTCTTAGATTCCTTCTCTAAAAAACTCTCTCTTTGGAAAAGTAAAACTCTATCTTTGGGTGGTAGATTGACCCTTCTTAACTCTGTTCTATCTACCATTCCCCTATATTACTCATCATTCTTCAAGCTACCAAGGTGGCTCATCAAAGCTGTAGATAAGATAAGGAGAAACTTCTTATGGAATGGCAACCATCTATCCTCGTCTGTTAGGAATTTGGTTTCATGGGGCTCTGTCTGCAGGCAGAAACAGGAGGGTGGTCTGGGTGTTATTCACCTTGAATCTTTCAACATCGCTCTCCTATCTAAATGGATTTGGAAAATCTTCGACAGAGAGACTCTTGTAAGCAAGGTGGTCTTCTCCCTCTATTCTAAGAATGGTGCTAACCCTGTTACTCTTTCTGGATAACTTCTCTGTCTACGATAGCCTGGCTTCTGATAGTTTGTGGTGGCCCCTACATTCTTCTGGGATTTTCACTGTCAAATCTTTTTATTCTGCCCTGACCTCTGGGGGTATCAAATCTGCTCTATACAACTTCATCTGGATATCCCCGATCCCTCTTAAAACTAAGGTCTTCTTTTGGATTGCTAGTAAGCAGAGGCTTAACACCAGGGCAAACTTGGTCTCTAAAGGATGGAATGGTGACCCTCGATGTCCATTTTGTTCTTCATGTCTTGAGGATATGGACCACCTTTTCATTAAATGCCCTTTTGCTTCATCAGTTTGGGCCGCCCTCCTTCCTAACAGTAACCCAGTCTCTCGGTACCATCATTTTGACGACCTGATCCTCCTTAATGATTATCAAGGAATCTCTTTTGATATTAGGAAAGTGTGGAAAGTGCTTCTTCCTTGTTGCTGCTGGTGGATATGGAACTGTCGTAATCATCTTATTTTTAGAGATATTATGCCTAACCCTAATAAGCTTGCAGCTAATATAGCGAGATACACCCTACTATGGACAGGTGCGGAGGAAGATCGGATGGCAAGAAGAATCCACAAAGCAGCCATCAAACTCAAGTTCGACGAAATAGCTAAAAAGAGAGCTGAAAATGATGTTGGAGACAACTTCCAGTAAGAGAAAGAAGTAACTGGATTGCTACCACCTCTGGATCTCAAGATCAATTCTTGTTGTAAAGATACTTATCTAAATTTTCTAGCCTCTTTACTTTTGATGTACATTTTTCTAGGCCTCTGATGGGCAGTTAGGGTAGTTGATTTTGATGTTTTGGTAAAACTCTGGTAGGCTTTTGGTTGTTTGGTGAAGCCTCTCTCTTTTGGTTTTTTTCTTTTTTTATTTTTTTTTATTTTTATTTTGTTGGGTATACTCTCGTATGTCCACCTTGTAAGTTTGCTTAGTGCTTTTATAATATATGAGCAGGGCTTAGTCCCTGTTTTTCAGCTCAAAAAAAAAAAGCTATAGAGAGCTTGAAAACCTAGCTACTTGCTTATGATATTATTTGTCGTCTTGCATGCGACAAATCACTATAGTTTTTATGGGAATAAAAAGATGGTTTTGATTAGGAATTAATGTAAACGGTTAATAAAGTGACCGTCTTTTACTTTTATTGTTCATCACATTTCTAACTGTATTTTGCTTTACATCAATTGCTTGTAGGCTAGCCTTAATTTTTAGGCTCCAGGGGGGGAAAATCTAGCTTATATATTTAAGCATTAAGAAAAGACGACATCATATGCAAACTTACGGATAGCTTAGTAAGAATCTAGTTATCCTAAATAATTGTGATCTTTCCCTTTTGATTAGAAGAATAAGTGTGCCCTTTTTTATTCACTGCAAAAGCAAATAGTTAGCCCTCACGCTCACTTAAATCATCTATTTCTACCGACGAGATCAGCTAGTTCATCTAGATCACTTTCATATATAGTACAACGAAAACAAATTATCGTACATAATTTGTTTGTTAAAGATAATTTCCCGAGACATTTTTATCCTATAAGGCCAAACCTGGGAGTGGGAGCGTTCCACTGTTTGTTGAAGATATTTTGAGGTTATCCCATCTTATGCAATCATTAGTTAATAATCCTATAAGATTCAGAATAATAACTATCATATATGTTCGGGGATTTATTTTCGAAAGAAAGAAAAAATTAAATATGATTTATTCACTTATTATTCATTCACATTTGTGAAAAAATTTCTTGGACCCCTCATAAAATTCTTTAAGAACCATTCGGTTCTATAGGACCACCAAATAAAAATTCTGCTGACGTTACGTAGCCACTGGCTTATGGTAAGAGCGTGGGGGCGGGAATCAATCTATTTGGTTTCAACTTAACTATATCAGAACACTGCATCTTATGTTTTCTCTAATGGAAGAGAAAAGAAGAATGAATTTCTTTTAGATGCCTTTGTTACGGGTGATTCAAATCCTAATCCTTGAATAGGATATGTAACATAATTGGAATTTCTTTTAGCTATGCCTAGTATTAAGATAAGGACAAAAGAGTTTATTTATTCTAATGAGATTAAGGTTCTTATTGTAGGCTGTCTAAAAATCACAATGGATAGCTAATCCCTATCAAGCCCTGATAATGGAAGTTACA